TGATCGAAGATATAGCTAGAAGATGATACTAAAAAAAAAAAAAAAAACACATTGCCATTGAGTCAAGTCTGACTCATAGAGGCCCTATAGGACAGAGTAGACCTGCCCCGTAGATTTTCCAAGGCTATAAATCTTTACAGAAGCAGACTGCCACATCTTTCTCCTGCAGAGTGGCTGGTGGGTTCAAACCACCAAACTTTTGATTAGCTGATGAACACTTAACCACTGTGCCACCAGAAGATGACAGGAAATTAAATATCGTGGCTTAGAACACAATGGGTACTAAAAGAAATCAAAGTCCCCAAAACACCCTCACACTTGAGCAGAAACATCCAGTTCCTGAGGAGGAAACAAGTTTGATTACCAGAAAGATCTTGAAGGTGCATGATTGTGATGGATAAAGACCGGAAGTAGTGTGTCCCCTTTCCAGAATTTTGCTGCCTTTCTAGCTCTTCTAAACCACATTTTCTTTTGGGAAATATATCATCCTCTTCCCCTTCCTAGACACAAGGATTTAATATTATACATGTCTCAGTAGACTTGATAAATATCCAAAAACAAAACCTTGCTACCAGGAATGCTTCTGATGTAGGTCATTGTGTCATGTCTTTGATCCTGGCTGTACCCTTCTCACTTAGACATGAGGCACTCACCTGACTTTGGCACCTAGGAGATGCCCAATCAATGCTAAGTGGGTCTGGATGAAGAACTGTGGAATTATCAGAATGAATACTGGATGTCAGAGTGACTCCATGCCGATTGCAAGAGAAAGCATAGCTGGAAGAATCAACTCATGCTTTGTAAGAGGTATGTCAAGTTGCCTCCAGGTCACTTGGTTCTCAGCCTTTAGGGTTGCATGAGATGGCAACCTAGTGTGATGGGCATTTGGACTTGAGGTTGATGATGGCTGATGAGGTCTATCAGCGACACATCAGAGTGAGTTACAGAATGAAACATTCAAAAGGGACAGGACACTTGTTACCAAACTCAAGGACAAGCTTACAGAACTAGCCCTTGAGAAATGGAAAGAACAAATGGTTATTGGGCAGGAAGCATGATAGAGCCAAGGGATGTGGTGGACAGGTGACCACTGAACAATGGCAGTCAGGCAAAGTTGGAACTTCTAGGCCAGTGAGGGAAGGGGCTATTTGTTTGTTTTTTATTTCTCTCTCCACCTCTCCTCCCCAAAAGGTATTGAAGCTAGTGAAATGAAGAAACACAAACGGGGAAATAAAGAAACACAGAGACAGGAAGAAAGAATTTAATAGAAAGTAAAAAATAGTGGGAAAGGATGGCGAAGTGATGCTTATGTGACTTTAAGAGGGCATTATGGGCCCATGGGAGAAGAGGATCAGAAAACATCTAGATGAGGTTAGGAAAGAGGAGAGGGCCAAAGCTAGAAAGCATAAAACAGAACAGAAAGGAACCGATAGTCTATAACTTCTATCACAGCAGAGCCCCACTGGCCTTTGCTAAAAGTAACTGAGTAATAAATGCTTTTAAAAGTCATCTGGATGACCCTTCCTTTTACCAATGAGCAGATGGGGTTAGGGGAGAAGGTAGCTCAGAGGTCTTGTTTCATTTTCACTGCCCCACGCTGTGCCGTCTGCAGAGTGATGAGGAACACACAGAGGATAGTATGGAAAAGGTTCTACACTGGTGGTGAGCTGTCCCCTAAATTTTTTTCCTCCCAATTCTGGGATTCTACGATGCTAGGTGTGAGGGTGATCTCTGTGTATATTTACAAACACTCGTACCATCCTCAACTTACTATGCCTAAATATATAGCAATACTATCATTAAGAAAACAAACATGTTAAAATTTAGACATCCAGATGATGTTGCCCTTCAAAGTAGTCTATACATTACAGCTCCTTATACTGATACTTGCCTCGTGTGTTTAAGTTAGCAAATGAATTACAGTGCAAACCATTTGTGCCAAAAAACCAACGAGGAAAAAAACTAATTTTTATGGAGACATATGGTTTTAAATCTCAGATTGATTACCCGTGTTCTTCACCAGACATGACCTCAGTGGCTTTAGCTGGCTCCAAAAATCAAATCTACCCTCAAGGGACAATGATTGGCTTCCAAAAATACTTTGAAAAGAATGTGTTCTAGCATCTAAAGATAACCCCAGAAGAGACGTACTAAAAATATTGTGAGCAATGACAACATCCTTGGAACAGGTATCCAGGCTTTTGAGGTGATTTCTTTGAAGGCAAAACACTCATTTGGAAGTCTGAGTTGAGGTGTGGTTATGAAAAATATCAGCCATGTCACTCAGTTTTTAACATTCCTATGTAGCTATTGGGGTATGAAAGAGAACCCCCTGACATTTCCGAATATGCTCTCAAGGGAGGAGATGGATAAAGAACGGAAAAAGATGAAGAAGGCTCTCTTCTACCCACCTTCTGTGGGCTGTGTATTTTCAAACCATCTTGCTACCGTCAGCAAGTATGAGAGAAAGAGGCTTGTGGGGAAAGCCTACTAGCTCTGCTGACCTGCCCTCTTCAAAGTGAACAAGGTATTGGGAGTGCAGAGTTTATAGCGAGAACTCTCTCCCTCTCCCACGGAGATGCTCAACCTCTCTATGTAGTTAACCAGCCCGTGGAAACCCTACTCTTATTTCTGAGAGGCATCATGGATTTGCAAAGAAAGTGAAAAGACGTTTTAAAAGTAAACTTGTACATGATGAGCATAATTAATGTCACTGAATTGTACATGTAAAACAAATGCTGAAATGGCAAATGTTCTGTTTTATATATATATAACCACAGTTAAAAAAAAATAGGGGTGGTGTTAGTAGAAGAGGGATGGGTGCTGAGTTGACAAAAGGACTGCATGACAACTACAGGAGGCCACTGCTGGATCCTTACATATTATCACTGGCAGCCTTAGTCCCTCTCTGCCCACCCTTTGGAGATTATAAAACAAAAACACAACAACAACAAAAAAGTACAGTTATGAATAATCAGTTGTCACTCTCTCATGCTTGCAGTAGAGCATGCGGACAATCAGGATGAGAGACTTTAAGATAAAAAGATGTGAGTGAAATGCAATTCAGTGACTGTCGAAGTTGACCTATTTGTTCAAGGGTTTGGAAAGCCACAGGAAATGAAAGGCCTAATGCTGTTCTTTTGGTCTATCCCTTTGGCAATTCCCCTTTCAGTAAAGATAAAACCTGGGTGTTCAAAAAAGAAACTAGTGGCTTTGGGGAGAAAATACAAAATTTGGTCAAGCATTTGTTCATTCAGTCAACTGGTGGGTATTTATCAGGTAACTCCGTCCTATAGGGTCGCTCTGAGTTGGAATCAACTCGACGGCAAAGGGTTTCTATGGGCAGGTACTATGTGTGGTACTGGATAGTATCTGCTTTTTTGAAGTATGAAGACTTAAGTATTTTCATAGACAATCCACTCCATAATCCAGCATTATATCCAAGCTACACAAACTACATGTTATGTGTACTTTTTGGTCTGATTTCTAAATCATTGCTAGATAGTTCTTCTGAATGAAAGCAAAACTCTCCCTTTACAGTCCCTTATCTAACCTTCCCTAATTCCCACTTCTTGTTACATTCACTTACAATATGCACTCATCCATGCATACACACATGAGCACAAAATGTACTTGGGCTTGAGTTCATTAACTGCAAAACCGTTTCATAAATTCATAGCAGACCATGTTTGTTTTTCTATCATCACTCATAATAGCTTGTTTAAATGAAAGCTTCTTTAGTTCGTTACATTACCAATGAGTACAATGAAAAGATAGGGCCTCAGAGTCACATGGAGTCTTTTTCACAGTTGTTAATGAGGTGTGAGGTTTTACAGGTTCATTCACACAAGCTTACATAACTCATCAGCTTATGTGACCACAGTCAGATTTACAGCTGCACTGAAAATTCTTCTAGGACACCCAATTTTTTGTGTGTGTGAGCCCCCACAAATTCCACTGATGAATCAAATGGCCATGACCTGTGTGTATTTCTATATTTATATGAAGTCTCTGCTCCTCTATCAGAATGCGGCGGAGGCTTTCACTGGGATTACTCGCCGGTGTCAGCTTGTCTTATGGATGTGGTTACCACATGGACAAGCTCTCTTAAAAAGAGAGAGATTTCAGTGTTGGCTTCATCTCAAACGTCTGTGTCTGATTCACAGACATCTGTGTCTCCCTGAGAAATAATTTTTTCACAACCAGAGCAGTCCAACAGAGAAATAAGCTACTTCCTATGGGAGTGAACTACCCACGACTGGAATCTCAGGGCTGTGGGGAAGATGTTCCAGCACTGGGTGGGGAGGTAGAGCCTTCCTGAGATTTGAGGACGTGACATTTATGATGGAGGTAGCCTTTAGTCGCACATGGTTACAGTAAAATGACACCTAGTGAGGGGTCTGTTATTTCACAGTGAGCTGTGTGAAGAAGCAAGTCTTTTGGCGTGTTTGTGTTCGAAAGGAGGACTCAATGGAAGATGTTTGTGTGGGTCTTTGCAACAAGCATCTAGTGCATGAAACCAGTGTTAAGGCTCAGTCCATATGGTCGAAGTAAAGAGCAGAGGATGGTGCCGTGACTGCCCGGAGAAGAATCTAAGTGCTATATTTGGACCTTTGGACAGAAAGATGCTGCTGCCCCCACACTGTCTGGCATCATTATTTAGATGACTGCTAAGCCAGCTCTTGGATATGTTCTCCACTGCTCTCACCCCCACCCCACCCCACCCAAATCAACTCTGAGTACAGCACACTTGACTGACCTGAGGGAGGGATCATTCTTAAACTCAGTGCTAAGTGTGAAGGGAAACCCCAGGCTTGTTTGTGTAGGATTTTAAGAGCACAGGTCTGAGGTTCTGCTTGGGAAAGCAGAGAATAAAAAAAGAAAATAAAAAAGCCAAATTCTCCTCTAAAAAATGTGCTTTTGCCCATAACTCCTTCCAAGTTAGGAGAGTTTCTGGAAACCTGGGAGAACCGAAGCGAGCGTTCTTCTCAACTACAGTGTTTTTGTGGAGTCCATGTGTGATAATAGCACTGTAACCACAAAGGAATTTACCACAGGAAGTATCCCAGCTGTGGCTTATTAGCATTAGAACAAATTACACAAAGCAAATTGTTAGCAGACATGTTTCCATAATATTTAACTGGTGGCAATAAATAAGAGCGATTCTCTCTCAAGTACATGCTAGATTTCCAAAAATCCAGCTTCCAATTGTCCGTGAAGGAATTGTCTTTGACTAGGACAACCTTTGCAGGGGATGGCACTCTGGAAGCTGAGGTTCCTAGCCCACTTCCCTTTGCAATGCAGCCAGGAGTCAGGCTGGAAGCACAGGTGGTATGCACATGTAGCGGGAGCTGCTGCTGGGGCTGACATCGCCACGCAGGAACAGGAAACAGCATCTCTGGACAGCCCACCATCTGCTGGATTCGCCTATAGGGTTCTCAGTGTGGCCCTCTTGTGTTGCTGGGGAATCCAATGCACATAGCAAGACATCAGAAAAGTTCTTGGAGTATATTTATGACAATAAATAACTCACACTTTCTCCTTCACAAAATACTGCAGCTTTTTTTAAAATAATTATCTGCTCCTTCGTGATCTTCTGCCTTGTTATCTGATGTTAAAAAAAAAAAAAAAAAAGGGAATCAAAGCCCCTCACCCTCTATTCCCCACTGGAGAAGAACTGAAAAGGTGGCCCTCAGAATAAACATCAGACAGTGCTCATTTTTTTGTTCACACGTATGAAAACCTGGTTATTTCTTTAGAAAGAAAGCAGAATATTTCTATCTTTCAAGACTTCTTGCAATGACTAAATGTGAGTCCCTCATTATCTCTGGACCTTTTCAATTATCTTCAGAGATGTGACAAAATTCTCTGAAAATAATCTCAAAAATTATTTTTAAAAAATTATTTTAATTAAAAAAGTAAGAAATATTCTATACAGCACATAAATACGAAAATTCGTTATTGCAGCTTAAAGGGTTGGGAACATGAGAAGAGCTTCTCTTTTATTGCTTTCCTAAGAAATTTATAATTTTATCCTCCCTTCCTCACCGGTTTCCTCCTCAAGCAAGCCAAAGGTAGCTCGGTATTCCTTCCCGATGCATTTTGATTTCTCATTTGCTTTTCCTGTGGAGCTCCTTCATTCCTTTTCTCCGGCTGAAAGTAAAAATAGTTGGCAACCCTGCTGAAGGGAAATCACGGGAGTCCAGAGTACTCTCTGGCAGGCACTAAACAAAGTCCTCAAGAGAGCTTTTCCCTCACCAGTGGGTTCCTTGGGGAGGCCCCATAGAAACCCATAGTCACAAGAAACCACAGGCGTGGCACCTCCAGTCAGCCTCCTGAGGGGGCAAGTCCAGAACTTCAGCACCAGCCAGCTCACGCAGCTGCCCCCAGGGCACCCTTTGTGGCATAAGCCAGGACACCTAGTAGTAACAGCAGGTACAAAGACTAGAGAAGGCTGCCTCTGTGTTACCAAGGATGATTTGTAAAGGGGAGAGACAGTTTAAACCAAGTAAATGTGAGAGCTGATAGACTCCCAGCTACTTCTAAAGCTTTTCCAACTACAGCATCAGGAGACACAAAGACAAAACCCCCATCTTTTACCTGAAGTCTTCACAAAGAGAATAATGGGCTTCATAAAACATTTAAAATGCCTTAGGCAGTAGAATTGTCTCTTGATTTTTTTTTTTTTTTTTTAAAGTGTTTAACAGACAAGTGTAATTGGAAATGTTTGGAACATGAATGCACGTGCTTGCACGCGGACGCACACACACACACATACATACACACACTCTAATTTGGAATTATGCAAGACTATATCATTATTTGCTGCCACCTGAAGCAAAGCTACTGCAATGGAATAACAAGTACGATATTTGTACAAGTGTGAGGCCTCCAAGTAAGCCCTCATTTGGAGGAGAATGACACACGTGGCCTGCCTTTTTAAGGTCTGTTTAGGGGAAATGGCCTGGCATGTTTTACATTTGCTAAGCTATTTAGCTGCCTGGTTTGACAAGATTTTTGAGAGGGGTGAAAATTAATTGTAATTGCAGTATTGCTATAATAATTTGGTTGGCTAATTACATTTCAGTGCAAAAACAGCCAAGGAAGAATTTTCTCCCCGGGTTATAGTCTTTGATATGGCAGCATTCATTTTAAGAGTAATGAGATTTTTAAAGTCAAACCTTAAATACCATGACTTCAGCAAGCTGTCCTGCTTAAAGTTTAATGCAAAATGAGATAGCACCTCCGTGAGAGCAGTTCCATGTGAATGTGGAGACAGTTTCCTCCTAGACTTGAGATGGGAAAATATCTTTCTCCTGAAAACAAGTCAAAGTTTCTCTTCGACATCGTTTGGGACTGGTTGTCATTTTGGAGCACCATGTTTGTGTTTTTGTAGTGAGGGAGGCACTAGTGAGGTTGGGGAGGAAGTTTTGAAAGCTTAGTACCGAAAGTTATTAAATGAGGTATATGTTGATGGAGGTGTCCTTGGGTGACTCAAACAATTAACACGCTCTGTTGCTGACCGAAAGTTGGGAGGTTCAAGTCCACCCAGAGGCACCTGGGAAGAAAGCCCTGGTGATCTACTTCTGAAAAATCAGCCGTTGAAAACCCTATGAAGCATAGTTCTACTCTGACATACATAGGGGCACCATATTTGGAATCGACTTGACAGCAACTGATTTATGTTGATGGAAGAGGCACCACAATATTAGGGGACTGAGCAAAAACAATGGGGCAGAAAACAGGTTGTCCTGGGATTTTTCTGAGTCTCACTGTTTTCAGACTGGCAGTTCGGAATATAAACTGTCTGTGGCTTTTTGAGGGAAGTTATCTAACTCCAGCCCAGCCATGAGCACTTATGACTAACAAAACTTTGGTGAACAGAGTTTGTTTATCTCTTCAAAACTTGAAGACTGTCCTAAGCCTGATTCATGGTAGTTTCGTCATGTGCTGCTGAAGCCAACAGTCAGCTCCTTCACAACCTGAAAACTCAGGCTCAGGGCAGTGGGCAGTTTTCGGACATGCTTCTCTTGCTCTTCTCTGTTGTGTGCTAAGACTAGACTCCCTTTGTTTGTTTAAAAAGGATGTTGCTCTGATGTGCTTTCTCAACAATCCTTCATCAAAGGGGATCTAGCGGCATAGAGCAAAATATTTCTTATGGTCTTCAACTAAGTTCTAACTGATTTCTAGAGGGTCACTATGCAAATTCTATCCGGGGTGCCCTCAAGGTTGTACAGGTGGTGTTCTGCGCAAGGACGCCCAGCTGAGGGGTGAGGGAGCTGAGATGCCACCTTGCTCCACTGGCCAGCTGAGACATCTGCTCAGCCACAGCCCAGAGGAATATGTGCCTTTTCTAATTCAGATTTGGGCCAAGAGAGGTCTTGAGTTTGCCTTGACCCTTACCTTCCCAGACAGTGCAAAGTCTCATGTTCATCCCCTCACTTCCAGCACTATGAATGTTCTTTAAGGAAGAAGATGTACCTATGGCAAAGGTGAATTCATCATTTCAAAGATATGTTCCCTGTTCAGAGAGAGAGAGGAATTAAAAAGAGAAACGGGGAGAGAGAAAGGAGAAGGATAAAAAGAACAGAGAAGAGGTTGCCCTTCTGCGTAGTAAACTGTGGATTCATTGGGCTGCCTCTAGGCACAGCTGCAGAGAGGTAGAACATCAATTTTTTTTCTATTACTCCATGGTGAGAAAAGAAAACCTATTTGTAATTGAATTAAACTCAATAATAGCATGGCCGTGTATTTGTTGAGGACTAGAAAAATTAGCCACAGATACAACTACATAACCCAGCAATGTAACTAGAAAATCAACTTCCCCATTTTCAAAGCTTAGTTGAGACACTGTTCTTTTTCTTTTTTAAAAGAAGCACCCGTGGCTAAATGTCAGTAAGACTCTTCAGCGTGCCAGTGTGACGCCTCAGTAAGGACTCTGGAAAGGAAGAGACTCCAAAGTCCCATCTGGGAAGAGGGTGCTTCCAAATTCTTGCCTTTGCTGCTTGTGCATCAGTCAGTCAGTAAAGATTGGATATGAACTAGAACCTCCCGGAAGGTGGTTTCTTCCCAAGTTGCAATCTGTGGTGCTGACTGTAGAAAAAATTCCCTATTTTTATGCAGGCCAGATCTTATTCACAAAAGCCCTAACTCATCCACTGAGTAGAGAATAATGATGCTGCTGCAGTCAGTAAGCGTCCTGAAATTTCATTAGCCGTCTGCCCTCTAGTGGCGCAACACAGTACTTCAGACAACTAGAAGGAGGGCTGGGGAGGAGGTGTTTTTCTTCTCTTTTAGAGAGCAAAAGAATTCAAGTTTTCCAGATAGTGCAAGGTGAGGCAGTCAACCTCAGAAGACAGCTTCCAGGGCTTAGTCCGGCAAGGCTCACACTGAATAGGTCCCCAGGTGAGAGTTAAAGACAGGTGGTACCGCAGTGGACATTCTGCAGGGATTAAGGTCCTTCTCCTCACATCCTTTGAATCCTCCAGGGCTCTGCTTGGGCGATAGCATTCAGTTCCCACTTTCTCATTAGAAAAATAAGACTCGCTCTAAGAGCAAACAACATACTAGGAACGTTAAAAAGAATAGGCTTTTTGTAAGTTTTTGGCAAATCATTAATGCAGAGGAGCCTTTCAAAAGAGCCATATTGAATATTTAAAAAGGCAAAGATGCACAAGTTTTATAAAACGGCCAAGTCTTTATGGTTGTTATTTTTAAGAGGAGAATCTATTCCGTGATGGTGGCTGGATGTTGGTAAGGCAGAAAAAGACCTTGAGATCTGTTGTCTGGATTTTGTCTCTATCTTTAAAAACTTCAGAACTTGGCTTGCTTCAGCTTGTCAATATGGTAGCAGAGTTTCAGTGCAGGTCCGAGCTTCAGGCCTAGGTATTTCATAATCATGTCACTCTTCAGCAACAGTAGAGCATTGCCATCAATCTCCTGGTGGAATGGGATCAGAAAAAAGAAAATCCAGAAGAAGGTCAGAGTAATTAAATAGTGGCTTAGTTTGAGGTCATGGTCAGGGGATGAGATAATGGCATATGGATTTATTTAGATGGCATATTCTCTTTGTCTCAGGGCAAGATCTTCTTAATAAAACAAAATACCACTTAAAACAAAAAATACTAGGTGCTCGTTTTCCCACTGTCTCCCTGGGGTCATTTGATACAGTGGACTTTTCATATTCCTACACTACCATCATTGGAAGAACCAGATATAGCCCACCCACATTCCCAATATCCTACGTACAATGTTATCTTCTCATTCAAACTAGGGTTAAAGGAGCAAGGAGCATCTTCCATTAGACCTTGAAACTAGCAGTTACCTTTCCATTCCAAATGTTAGTATGAGGCCCTGACTTCATCCATCACCCTAATGTCTTGTCTCTTTCCTCAGTAGACCTGCCTACCTTTAGCTGTTTACCAAACTGGATTTCAAGAGTTTTTTTTTTTTTTCCCTGTCAGTAATACTAGGCAGCATGCAACTTAGTAACACACCTTCTTCATCTCCAGGGTTTAGCATAAACCTAGCAAGGCTGGGTTTCCTCACTGCCTCACCTTTAGTGCTATTTTCAGGTCACTAAAGACAAATAGTGGAAATTTTGGGTGCTCAGGTGGGGAGAAGAGGCACAGCTATAGAACTCATCTAAATGTGGAAGGGTCACCAGTCTCTCTCATTCAGCTATCCATCCATCCATCCATCCATCCATCCATCCATCCATCCATCCATCCATCCATCCGTCCGTCCATCCATCCGTTTAGCCAGTCATCCAGCATCGATGGAGCACCTATTCTGTGTCACTCATTCTCCATGTCCTTGACAAAATGGCAGAGTGAGCAAAACTCATCTGTGGGCCACTCCCAGGAGCCTAATTTCCTAATGTTTTCTCTTTACTTCGCCTCCTAGACTTCCACCATCTTCTACCATCCTAGAAGAGCACCAGGCCGCCTCCACCCAAATCTGTCTAAACATAACTCAGTCTGTGGTTCTTGGTCTCAAGGCCCTGTTAGGTGAGGTCAAATATATCCCTAATAAAATGTGAGTGGTGGGTTAGAGGAGGCTTTCTAAGACCTTCCTCAGATGTGAGAGCATGATTTCTATAACAGAATCACCTGAAGTGAGAGGCAGGAAGGAAAAAATAATGGATGCAGAATAATGTCCTCCTCCCCAAAGATGTCTCTGTCCTAATATCCAGACCCTGAGGATATGTTGGAAACCCCGGTGGTGTAGTTGTTAAGAGTTCGGCTGCTAACCAAAAGGTTGGCAGTTCGAGTCCATCAGGTGCTCTTTGGAAACCCTATGGGGCAGTTCTACTCTGTCCTATGGGGTTGCTACGACTCGGAATTGACCTGACGGCAATGGATTTTTGGGTTTGGGTGGATATGTTAAGTTGTGTGGCAAAAAGGAATTAAGGTTCTAGAAGGAATTAAGGCTGCTAATCAGTTGACCTTAAAATAGGGAGATAAACATAGATTAGCAGGGGGTAGAGGGATATAATCACAAGAGTCCTTAAAAGAAAAGAGGGAATCAGAAGCAAGAACCAGAGAGATGGCAGTCTGAGAAGGACTCTGCCTGTCATTACTGGCTTTGAAAATGGGGGCAGGGGGCAGTGAGCCAAGTAATGAGGAAAGGGATTCTCCCTCAAGTTCCCAGAAATGGACACAGCCTTGCTGGCACCTTGATCTTAGCCCGGTGAGACTCGTGTCAGACTTAGGACCCACTAAACTGTAAGATAATAAGTTTATGTTGTCTTAGGCAGAAAGTTTGTGGTAATTTGTTACAACAGCAATGGGAAAGTAACACAGTAAGTGTGGCAGGTGAAGTGTTAATTACCTTTTTTTTTTTTTATTTACTGTCTTTATATATTTCAGAATCTCCTGAATGAATATAATAATACCTACCTAATAAGAGCTAAGATCCCTGGGTGGAGCAAATGGTTTGCACTTAACTACTAACCTAAATGTTGGCAGTTTGGACCCACCCAGCAGCAATGCAGAAGAAAGACCTGGTGATCTGCTTCTGTAAAGATTACAGCCAAGAAAACCCTATGGAGCAGTTTTACTCTGTAACACATGGGGTCGCCGTGAGTCAGAATCCACTTGACAGAAATGGGTTGGGTTGGGTTTGGTTTTGGTTTAATAGAGCTATCTACAAGCCAGACACTGCTGAGTACTTTATGTACATTTTCTCATTAGGAAATGGGCACAATCACAGTTTGCCTGGACTACTGTAAGTGCACTGTAAATGTTTGCGGAATGCACAGACAGACGATAATGGGCGGGAAAACCGGCACTCTTGATAAAGGCCAACGGGAGGAAACTGAAGGGACAAACACCCCTAGAGAATAGAATCAAGTGGTTGTTCTGCTCTGAGGAGCCTGTGGCTCTGTCTGACCTCTCACCTCTGGCTCACTTGAGCTTTGCCCTTAGGGCTTAGTTCAGTTGGCCCAGCAGCCCCCAGCTCCCTCAACCACGCCCTTCTTCCACAATCGCTCCCCTCCCACCCTCATCTAGGCCATGGCCCACCCCTCACATACATGCTTTCTGAAGAGCTCCACGTGAGGCCCCAAAGCCTGAGGGTCGGCATCTTTCACGAACCAGACCACATCCTCCACTGTCCAAGTGGAGGGGTTCCTGTTCCTGGGCCGCCTGGCGTCCTGTCCATCTGGAGAAAGGCTTGAGGCTGGATGGAACGAGCATAGAGACGGAGACCGTGAGACAGTGGGATTAGGGACTCCCCACCTGCCTGCATGCTGCCTGCCCTCACCTGGCCTGGGAGGGGTTTCCTCAGGCCCCTGGAGTCCAAGCTGTGAGCGGCTATCCTTGTCTGTGAGACACCTGGCTTCAGGAGCCTGGTACACGGGAGGCCTCTCCTGGAGAAAGCACCCGCCTCCCCTCCCTGCCATTTACTCAAAAGATCTCTGCTCTCCCAGGAAACAAAGCATTAGAATATGAATTTCTTCAAAAGTCTGAAACTCACCATCTGTAAAATCGCAATGCTCTCTACCTGAAAGAAGCCCTGGTGGTGCAGTGGTTAAGCACTTGGCTGCTAACTGAAAGGTTGGTGGTTCAAACCCACCAGCCGCTCCGCGGGATGAAGATAAGGCAGTCTACTTCCATAAAGATTACAGCCTTGGAAACCGTATGGGGCAGTGCCACTCTGTTCCTATAGGATCAAAATTAAGTCGACAGCAACGGGTGTGGTTTGGTTTTTCTACCCGGAAAGGCAATTATGAGGACCGAAATTAGATCATGCCTGGACCATGGCTAACTGTGTCAGATGCTCAACAGAGGGAAGGTGGCCCCCTGCCTGCCCCCTCACTCTCCTGCATACCCTCTGTCTGGGGCCAAATGCTTGGTATGGCCAAATGCTTCCCTTCTCCACCTTTCGCTGGTGCTTTTGCTTCTCTTCAAAAAACCAGTTGCTGTCAAGTTGACTCTGACTCACGGCAGCCTCATTTGTGTCAGAGTAGAACTGCGCTCCATAGAGTTTTCAATGTCTGATTTTTCGGAAGTAGATTGCCAGGCCTTTCTTCTGAGGTGCCTTGGGTGGACTCAAACTGCCAGACTTTTGGTTAGCAGCTGAGTGCATTAACTGTTTGCACCACCCAGGGGCTCCTTGCTCCTCTCTAGAAGGCATTTACCTTCCCTCCTTTCTGCTGAAGTCCACCCGCTGCCAAAGCTCTGGTAAAGCCCAGCTCCTTCACCAGCAGTATTTCTCTGCTCCTTGCCACCTGGATGCCACCTTCTTCTCTCTTTAATCCTGAGATTTTGGTTTGTCCTTCTCTTAAGATGCTTTCTATATTCCCCCTTGTATTACAGTTATATGTGTACTTGTCTGTAACCTTAAATTTCCTGAGGATTCTCTTTTTCACCACCCCACAATTTGCTGAGTACCTTCTCTGTGCCAGGCCCTGTGCAAAGTGTTTAGTGAATAAGACAAACATGACCTTCTCATCACAGGATTCCACCGTGACTCTGACTATCGTAAATATATTTGTAAATATGTGTTCAGTAAATATAAAATGAATCCATGCGCTTTGCAGAAACAGTATAGGTAACTTATACAAAAGGCTCCTGTGGGCAATCCGTAGTCCTATTCTAAGACTAGAAAACAGTCGCGGCTCTGAGCATGAAGCAGCTTCCCTACAGAGCAGTTCTGAGTTCGAAGTTGAGAAGCCCTCCCTTCTGGTTCCTTTCTTTTATGTCAAGACGCAGTCATCTTCTACCATCTTTTTGCCTCCTCCTTTTAATGTGCTTGAGAAGTACATGGCGCCCCACTAGTGCTGAGAAACATACAGCATCATATTTCCAAGTCTGTCCCAAATATATATTTGGTTGAGAACTGGATTTCTTTTGAGATTCTTCCTGCCTTTTCCTGGTTGGGCCTGGAAGGGTCCCATAAGGTGGTTTGGCACAGGCCATTTTGTTGGGAAACTGCTGATGCAGCCAGGAGCCATCTGAATGCTGATGCCTGCTTTTATTAGGGATGATTTCACTCCATTTAAAGACATCTGCACTCAACATGGGGACAAGGAATCACGGAAATCCCATTTGCCTTTGGATTCCACCCTATCAGAGCATCCGCGCTAATCAGAGTGATAATAGATGCTCTGATTACAAAGGCTGGAAGTCTTTAGTGCCAAGAATGATTTTAGAGTGATCAGAGCAGAGGTCAAGTCTAATTTCCTGTATTTGACAGGAAGAAAAATAAAAAACGAAAAACAGACAGGCCAATGAACAGGATCATTCACGGGAGCCTGAGGTCCTCTGAGTAAGGTCAGGGCAATTCTTACCCATTGCCACAGCCACTGGTGCTGAGCAAGGGGCTGGTTTGTACGTAAGGAGGAGGGTCTCAGGGTGATCGTGGAGGAGGGAAGGAGACAACTGAGTTGGGAAAGTGGGCTCCATTCCTGGCACCTGGTTTTGTTGTGGGTATTTTTTGCTTTTCCAGCATGGAGCGGCTGTAGCCGAAGCCTGGCTCAGGAGCCTTTCTCTGAGGGGGCCTTTTAGTCATACAACACAGAGCAGCAGGAAGCCTAAGCCACACCTCGAGAGCTGCTCACGATCCAAAGCACATAAACTTGCCCTAGGAGGAAGAAAAATGGAACTTTCCAATGACAGGTTTGTAAAGGCTTTGCAGCATTTGTGCTCACAGAGCTAATAAATACACGAGCTCCCCCAAGCTGCTGCAAGGGTGTCAGGAAGACAGATGGGTTCAGGCTGACACAGCCAGGGCAGGCAGATGTGACAGGTCAATGGTAAGACATGAAGGATGGGAAAATGTCTTGCACCTAAACGCAAAGAACATGCACCGTGCTTGGCAAATGCATTTATGAGAAGGCAGCATTCTCAAGCATGGAGGACTTCGCGCCTGGTGGTGTCCGTTCACTGCCAGAGACCCCTGAAAGGTGAAACCGAGTTTTGAATGGATGTATAGTTAAATACTGATTAGTTTTGCGTTTTTTTTTTTTCTTCCTAAAGCCGAACTCACGTTTACCAGAAATAGAATGACAGTGAATCAGTGCTGAAAAGCAAACCCGGACATTTTCACAGCGCAGGTCTGTGAGCCTCTCTCTGTCTGACACATTCCCACAAGCATGTACATAATTTCCCCTTTGCTCATTCATAATTCAGGAAGAACTTTTCAGCTCACAATAGAGTCATGTGGAAGAGCAGAATGAGCAATGAGCTGGGAGTTGGAAATCCCTACCATCCACTGTGGGTGCATCCCCTTTGTAAAATAACGGTGTTTGGAATGATCTCAGGAGTCCCTGGGTGGTGCATATAGTTAAGCACCCAGCTACTAGCCTAAAGGTTGGTGGTTCAAGTCCACCCAGAGGAATCTTGGAAGAAAGGCCTGGTGAACTGTTTCCAAAAAATCAGCCATTGAAAATCTATGGACCCCAGTTCTACTCTGACATACATGGGGTCACCACGAGTTGGAGTTGACTCAACAGCAACTAGTTTGGTTTTTTGGTTTGGAATTCATCTCCAAGGTTCGTTCCACCTATGATGCTTTATGATCCTTTTACACCACAGGCTGTCCTGAGCAACGCTCAGGGAGAGTTACCGTCTTATGCATCTGAAGCTTCATCAGTGTGTCCAAGTGTGAAACACTGACTAAAGAGCGAAAGGCCAGACTTCTAGTCCTTCCTGGCTCTGATCACTCTCTATGCATCTCAATATCTTCATCTAGAAAGTGGGAATATTATTTCTTGCTTCATAAGAGCATCGTAAGGATTAAATGTGTGGCTCTAGGCTGGAGCCTGACATCTGGAATGGAAGCCCATCAGTCTCCAACTAAGAGGGACCCGTCTGTGTCCTTCAGGCTGCTGCAAGCTCCTCAGCTCTCTCAGTCTCTCTGGCAGCTGGAACTGGATGAGTGAGGATGGGGTGAAGAGAAGGGGATGGTGGGTCATTCTCAGCTCCTCCAAGTGACTCACTCCCTGTAGAATGCATTCTTCCTAGAAACAAGGCCACGTAGAGTGTGTGAGGTACCCAGGCTAGCCCACAATCTGCGCAAAATTAGGTGCGCTTGAAACAGTGTAATTTTCCATCGTTTCTATTGCAAGAATGTTTAAGACACTGTGAGGTGAGAGAGATACAAGTGAAGAAAGCATGATCAATCCTTAGATTTTAATCACGTTTTTCTTTTAATTATTCAAGGACAGCCAGCCAGCCTGTGTGAGAAGGGAGGATGCTTCCAGAGATGGGAGAGACCACAGGCTTGAAGTCAGGTTGAGCTGGACTGGATTCCTTCTCTGCTACCAGCAGTTTGATGTCTGCAGGGAAACCTCTGGTTATTTGCCCTCCCTGCCACCCCTCCCCAGCCAGCTCTTGCTTCCCATGTCAGCTGGCGCCACTGTCACTTCTCTGGGAAGCCTTTCTTGACTTCCAAGAGTAGGATCATCTGATTCTCTCATAGCATCCATACTTTTCCCTTGGAGAAATAATCACAGTTGTAATTAAATTTGTGCAATAATTTAACATTTGTCTTTCTGAAATTGCAAACTCTAAGACAACAGGGACCACATCTGTCAGTTCTCAGGTCCATCCTTGCAGCTGAGATGGGCACCTGGCATACTGTGCTCAGTCTCTGTTGACTAGGACTGAAGCCTCTCTGAGTCTTAGTTTCCTCACCTATAAAGCACCTACCTTGTTGGGCTATTGTGAGGACTGTTTGGGATTATGTTGTAAAATATTCAATAGTAAGAATTAATCAAAAGGTAGGTACTATTCTTATTATTATTATATGTTATCCCATAAATGACCAGTAGATTCATCTTTCTAAATCCCATGGCCATCAGCTCACTTCATGTTCAAAAATACCTGGTTTCCGATTACCCACAGAATAAAGCTTGAGCTGGACAAGGACTCCAAGGAACCTTCCAGTCAGTTTCCTTCAGTGTCCTGTACTTCTCCCAAATGAGTAACCTGGCTCTTTTGGAAACCCTGGTGGCATAGTGGTTAAGAGTTTGGCTGCTAACCAAAAGGTCAGCAGTTCAAATCCACCAGGTGCTCCTTGGAAACGCTATGGGGCAGTTCTACTCTGTCATATAGAGTCACTATGAGTTGGAATCAACTCGATGGCAATGGATTTGTTGTTTTTTGTTTGTTTGTTTTCTGGTCACCATGTTTGGTTCATTTCGTCCCCCTCAAATAAAGCACTATCCCTATTCT